ACATCGACGCAGACACGCACATCGACTCACTCGCACACATGGACGTAGACACACACATCAACTAAGACACACACTCATGGACTTACACACACACAATAACAACAACCGCCATTCGCCACTAAGTGGCGGTGACGTCACCACGACGCTTGTGCCAGGCCATGTGCACCTTGAGGCCACACACACACATGGACCCACGCACACAAATCGACTTACACAAACATCGACTCACACACACATATATAGACTGACACACACAACGCCCTACACACACAGTGGCAAAGCCACATTCAAGACATGATGCTCAGATTTGGATTATTTCCCCTAAATTGATCTTGAGATTTCTTCTGTTTGGGTTGGTAACAGGCTGCATATTGATTGAGGTTCATGCCTCTGCCCAATTTCAATCAGGTCACATATTTGTGTGTCCTGGTCACAGAAAAACTTCACCAGTTTTGACTCATCGCCTTAAAGATATCCACTTGACATTAGCCTGTGAATGTTAAAATCATATGTACTTTTATCACCTGTCGTTACGATGCGTGTTCCCGTGTGTTGCTGTGTATGTGTACAGTGAAGCTCCTCTGATCCCAGAATCTGCTACTCCTAATCAGCCCAAATCGATGCTCAGAAAGCCCTGTTTCATGCAGATGGATTCTTCTTATTCGTGGATAATGGGAGCCGTCTGCATGTGGTGATAAATTTAGCCTATTATTTATGCAGATGAGTCACACAGATGGAGTCTCCTGGAAGAGCTAAATTCATCCTATAATCTGGATGTAGCAACTAATAGACTCAATTTGCATAGATCTGCATGGTGTTGCTGTGTGTGTGTCTGTCACTGTGTTACTGCTTGTGTCTCACTGCATCACTACCTATGTCTGTCACTGTCTGTGATAGACACTCAGTGGAGAGCGGGAGTGTAGCGGTTAGCGCGCTGCGCTATGAACCCGGTGGCCCGAGTTCGATTTCCGCTCATGGCCAACACCAGTGACGATTATCTGAACCGATCCTGGGCCTCCCCTAGGTCAACTCAGCTAAAATCACTACCTGGTGCAATGTCTAAACATCGCCACTCGGGAGACAAAGGCGACCGAGCATGGTATTGGCCACCCACCCCTTCGTGTGCTGTTCCGGCCTTCATAGGTGCCCGCTAACAGCACTTGCCCTGAATTTACCAACAGTCTGTTAAGGCTGTAAGGGGCATCTTTGCCTTTGTGCTCTTCTCCCTGTCGCTATGTGCGATACCACCACTGTATGTCTTTGTGTGACACTGTGCATCACAGTATGTCACTTTGTTCATGTATTTGCATGCATCACTTAGATTTAACAACACACAAAGGCGTACATTACAAAAGCTTTATTCGGACCATCAGCTCAAGATAACTGAATGAGAGTGTCACTGTTGTTGATTTCTCTCCCCTTGTCTCTCTGTCCATGCTACTCATCGCGCTCCATATTCAGGGAGGCCAGGGGGCCATGTTGTCAGCCTCCCAGCCCGGGAAGGCCCCGCCGGACCGTCAGGCCGGGCCGGAGGGGTCTCCGAGCCCATGCGCCACACCACCCGACCCGGCCGACCCGGCCGACCCGGTCACCCTACACACAGTGAGGGAACCCCGCCCCCCCACCACCTGCTCACCTCATCACAGCGAGCAGTGTGCATCAGCAGCATGTCTGCTTCGTGCCTCTCCACTGTACGTTTCTGCTTGCATGCCTTTCTGCATGTAAGTTACTGCCACAAAAGTGTGTACCACATTTCCCTCTGCTGTGCGTCCATTGCATTTATTGTGCATGGCTCTGCCGCATGTCTCTCTGTTGCACATCTGATGTGTGGCAGCTGCATTACTCTTACATTTATTGGCACCCACATACCTATTGTCACTGGATCTGATCCCTGGCACTGGCCGCTGCAGATAAATCTTAATGGGTCTCAAATGGGCATCTCCAGTCAGCATGCTCCCCACCACTCCTGGCTGTAGTGTGTGTGACTCCTCCAGGAGATTATCCTTTTTTTATCTTTGTGCCACAAACAGAGAAATCTAAACGATCCTCCACAAAGTGTTTTTATTTATGGATGTTTCAACATAGTGGGTTTGGCTGAATTTCTAACAGTGTGCGTTGCATTTTTGGATAGTTTATTTGGCCGCAAGCCCCGTATACTTTGGCGCTACGGCCCGCGGGCCAACTGCGGCCCTCCATCCATTTTAATTGGCCCGTATCAAAGTCTAAAAATATAATGGACTATGGCCCACTGTATTGCACTTCTTAGTTTAAAAACTAGGTGGCGCTATTGTCTTGAACAAGGCATCGTTTCCACAAAGCAAGCAATCGAAGAAAAAGTTGGCTCAGGGTCACCAGAAATGCCGGAAATGAAGAGACGCAAGATTGCAAGCGAGTGCAGAAAATTTCAGACTCGGTGGAAAAATGAATATTTTTTCATAGAAACCAAGGGGAAGTGTGTTTTTTGATTTGTAATGAGAGTGTTGCCGTGATGAAAGAGTACAATGTACGACGGCATTATGAAACAAAACATCAGACCTTCACGTCCTACACTGGCGCCGAGCGGAAAGAGAAGGTAAAGCAAATGGCAGCTAGCCGGCTAACACAGAAGCAGGTTGTTTTCCGTGCTAACAAAGCTCAAGAAAATGCAACAATAGCCAGTTATGAAGTAGCTCAACTCATTGCCCTACACGGGAAATCTTTCTCAGACGGTGGCTTCATCAAACAGTGCCTCACTAAAGTCGTGAGAATAATGTGCCCGGAGAAAATTCAGGATTTCAACGATGTTAGTATGTCCAGAAATACGGTTGTGCGGTGAATTTAAGACTTGTCGGCTAACTTAAAACAGCATGTGTCAGATAAAGCTTGTGCTTTCAATTTTTACTCGATTGCATGTGATGAGAGCACAGATGCCACGGACACTGCACAGCTGTTAATTTTTTTGCGGGGAGTTGACGATAATTTTTGCATTACGGAGGAACTGCTCGATCTTCGGAGTCTAAAGGGGACACCAACTGGGAAGGACATGTTTGAAGCTGTGTCAGATGCAATTGACCAGGCTGGACTTAAATGGGACAAGCTGTGTGGAATTACAACGGATGGGGCTCCAGCAATGACAGGCGAGCACAAAGGAATGGCCTCTATGGTGAGTGCCAAGGTGCGGGAGAGCGGAGGTGAGGCTGTCAAAATGCACTGTATCATCCACCAAGAAGCCCTCTGTGCCAAGATAATCCAGCTTGGCGATGTGATGAACACAGTTGTGAAAACTGTCAACATAATTCGGGCACGAGGGCTTTACCACAGAGAATTTCAAGCGTTCCTGTCTGATGTCGATGCTGAATACGGGGACCTACTCTACCATTCTGAAGTGCGCTGGCTCAGTCGCGGCTCCGTGCTGCAGCGGTTTTATTCCCTGAGATGAAATATCGACAAGTTTTTGAAAGAAATGGGCAGACCTGTCCATGAGATCAGTTACCCTTTATGGTTGGCAGACCTGGCTTTTTTAGTTGATCTCACTGATCATCTCAACACCCAGAACAAGAGACTACAAGGCAAAGAGCAGCTGGTACCACAGCTGTATGCGCACATGAAAGCATTCCGTGCGAAGCTCCGTCACTTCGAGTCACAACTGCACAACTTCAATGTAGCGCACTTCCCCACGCTGAACGAAATCAAATGCGCATTTCCAAATGCCAAGCTCTCTGCAAAAATGGGAGAATATGTGTCTGTGATCACATCTCTCATGACAGAATTCAGTCAGCGCTTCCAAGATTTTTCTGTCATTGAGAAGGAAATCACACTGTTTGCGGCTCCGTTTTCAATGGATGCAGAAGAAGTGGAGGAGAGTCTGCAATTAGAAGTGATCGAAATTCAGTGTGATGATTCTCTGAAGAATCAGCATCAGCTTCTCTCCCTACCTGACTTCTACCGGAGCTTGGAAAAGGCCAAATTTCCTCTGATGAGACGCCACGCAAAACGAATGATGAGTCTGTTCGGCTCAACATACATCTGTGAGCAGACATTCTCTCTGTTAACGCTGAACAAAAGCAGACTGAGAACCAGAACGACCGACAGCCATCTCCGTGACGTCCTTCGCATCTCAACCACCAAACTTAGTCCTGACCTGCCAGCTATCCTTCAGACCAAAGCACAGCATCACTGCTCCCACTGAGCGCAACATTCTTCCCATTACAGGTGAGTTAAAAATATACACACAGTTTTCATTTGTTAATAAGCCCAATTACTTAATAAATTCAGTCAATTAAAGTTGATGACAATTTTTTAACCAACGTTAGTTGATGTGTTAACAAGCCCAATAATATATTTGTGTAATAAGCTTGAAATATCCACATCCCCTATTTCTCTTCTTGTCTCTCCCTTCATACAGGACAATGAAGGGGGATCAGCACCCTAAGAACCAATCTGAGGCTGTCACTGAGAGAATGGCCTGCCAACCTTTTTGTAAAAAAATAAAATGAAAATCTACTAATGGAGAGCTATGATGGAGGCTTTTTTTCTTCAAACATGTTCAATTATCAAATGTAATTTACTTGCATTTGATTGATTTTGCCAATAATAGTGCATGAGAAGTGAGGCAGTATACCTCACGTCTAGTGAGTGGCCCAGTCCTTCGTATATTTTTCTGTATGTGGCCCTCGGGAAAAAAAAAGTTTGGACACCCCTGCTTTGGCGCATGCCAATAAATTATCGCATGTGCTCAGGCTGACCACACATACGCCGCATCGAGGGTCTAACTGTTGGGAGAAAATCTCCCGCCTGAGAGCACTTCGCAGGAGCCAGCTCAAGCACCCAGTGCTCCTGCTTCGACACTACTCTCGGAAGCGCCCTCCGAGCAGCCCCCAACATCAGCTTCAGTGGGATAACATGCAGCACACAAGCATGTGGTTCCCTGTGCAGGGAACCTACTGTGGGAGGGGGAGAGGTGCAGCCGAAATTGCGACACCGGAGCAGAAGTCCGCAAAACGATGCCTCCCCGAGCAGAATCGGAATCAACATCTTTATTGAGACTGGAGGAATCCGATAAGCTAAGAAGCTCTTTTTCACAGATGTCCAGTGGGGGCAGAGAGCTAAGAGCACGCGATCTCCTTTGCGCTCCACGGTGTCGGCAGCGTTGACAGGCGAGTCGATGGCGAGCGGTGAGAACGGCTCGGGCAGCTGATGTGCATGACATCCAACGCTCCGTGGAGAAGGAGAGATGGCAGTACGGGGGATGTGTGTGTGTGCTTGCTCGTCTTGTCAGGAGCTACATGATGCCAATCCGCAGGGCAAGGGGAGCCCGTGCTCTGCGCTCCAGACGATGCAACCGGACGCAGAAAAGGGGGATGTGGAGGTGTCACAGCAGGTGGGCTAGACGGAGGGCATCGGCACACCCTGCACAGCACCTCAGCAGGTTTCCATGGTCGTGTGGAGCGAGGACCTATCTTGTTGTGGGAGCGAGGGCATCTTCACCCTGCGTGGATGAGTTGTGCCATACGAGTGTACCTCTGGCACCCTGCTTTTGGGGGCCAGGTCACAATGGGAGCAGCTGAGGGCAGTGCGAGCATCTGCGGGGTTGACCTCTCCAGCGTGGATGCCTGCGCCATCTCCTGGGCGACCTGCAGAACAAAAATGTCTTTGCTTCCTGATGCGATGCCGTTGATGTCGGTGAAATGCGAATGGGAGAAATGAACATTGCGAAACACGGGGCTGGGACGGGCTGGTCTAGAGAGGCCCACACGGTGAAGACGTGCCCTCGTGACCCCTGTAACCCCTTTCCGTGTTGAGCCACCCTGTCCCTTTCTTCTCATTATTCAGGCCAAATCCACACACAAGGTGGAGCAGAACGGATCGTAGTCACCTGGTCTGAGCTCACCTCAGCTTTACCCGGACTCATCACATCAACTGCGACTTCTCTCCACGCAGCGCCGCACTCACTTCACCTCTAGGTCTACCCCCAGGTCCACTTCCAGCTCCACTCCACCCTCTGCATGAACTCAAAACATTTCCATCCTGTTTTACTTGCTCAGTCGCACAATCTCCTCCCCTCCCTCTGCCCACCCTCGTTTTTGCTATTTATGCTGCCGTGAAGGCACTTGTAGCATCTGAATGTCGACTGTAGAGTAGTTAAGAAGTTTCCTCAAGCTATGGACTTTATCCTAAGTCACCCCACTCCAATCAGCATGTGTGTAGATTCATCAGCTGCTGCAGCGTTTCTCTCGTCATTTGTGGAGTTCTAACACGGTCAAGCCGACACCAAGGCTGGGGCTGCTTGTGATTGGGTCCAGAGTTGGAGCAAGTGCAGCTCGGACAGCAGCTACCGTGGAGTCACAGCAGCTGCTGCTGCAGAGTCACGGCGGCTGCGCTCATGCACGGTTGGGGTGCAGGGACGAAGGCGCGAGCGCCTCGCGCCCTGGGCGTGTGCTGGGTCAGCCTGGGTGGGGCAGATGCTGGTGCTCTCCTTGGGAACTTGGCTTCCTCCTGTCGACCGAGGCATTGCGTTGATGAGCAGAGCCAGCTAAGTACACGTCACCCGTGTCGAGCGGTCAGTGTAAGGTTGGTCTGGACAATCCTTGCTTGACAAATGGTCAAATCGACGATATTTGCTGCAGATTTGCTAATTTTTAACGTGGAAATTGCATTTTTGCTAACACAAGAATTCGAGGCTGACCTGCAGAGTTCTTAGATGGTATAAAAAAAAATCTGGGATCTTTAAATAATACAAAAAAACCCAAGCAAGTCGGGGTGGAAATAGATATGTCAGCTATTTTGAAAACATTTAACAGTTTTATTTAAATGAGAATTTATTTAAATACTAAAAAAAACCCCTTTATTTTATCAGGTAAGGCGCACTGAGCTATCTATCTTCAGAAGCGACCTGGCCACAAATGATAAGTCAACGAAGTGGCTTATGTGGAAATTTATAGCAGCCAAATACTGTAAATGCGTGCTTCTCAATGTGGAGGGAAAAACCAGAGGACCCGGAGAAAAACACACGCAAACTTCAAATATACAGGCGTCAGGGTCGGTATCAAACCCACAACCTCCTGCATGCCAGGCGAGAGAGTTAACATCTCGCCACCATGGCGCCCCATAAAATACATTAGGTAAACGTAGAGAGCACGGCGCTGTACGTAGCCAACCGTGCGAATCGGAGGTACGGGAAAGGGCGATGGCACGGACGAGAGGAGTCTCGGAGTGCATCCAGGCCAGACTAGGACTCGGCGGCAGGGCTGTGCCACAAGTCTTTCTCCCTCCCACGCCCCTTGTGCTCCGGAGCTCCAGTTTGGCCGGTAATCCACGGCCCCGGCTATTGCGTGAACAGCGGTTTACTTGCACAGGCCGTCATCAGGACTGGCTCTCCTGGGAATTTAAATTCATTCAAAGTTATCGTCTGGTGGACACAGCTCTGACGAAGCCACTGCCATCACATTCCACGTGTTAAATAAAAATAACCTGCGTGTTGACACCTGAACCTGCGAAAGCCGAGGTGGAGTGTGCGGGAGGATTGAGGCGCCCCAGGCTGCACCGGTGGCATTTATGATGCTGCTCGCGTTCACATGCGCGCTCTGCGCGTGACCGCCCAGTATGCATGTTGTGTAGGCTTAATGTAACGGTGTTTACGTGTACATATGTATACTAATATTTACTGCTAAATGTGACGACTAATTCAAGCTTTGAGTATAGATTCGACTATATTTGGGTTTGGATTATGAATATTGGAGCCCATTCAGATTAATGTTGGATTACACTAGTAAATTCCTTGTCAATCCTAATAGCACAACATGTATCCAGGAGTTTAATTTGACGTTTGCATCGTATTGCTCGATACGCACGACCAAGGCCATGTGAGGTGTGGAAGAACACATCCTCGACAGCGCATGGCAGCATCCACCCCTGGCATGGTGCCCCAAGCTCCCTTCCCCCCACCTTCTACTGTGAGAAGCCGGTGACTACGCACTTGGCCTCCTCCACCCAGCAGAGAATTTGACAGACAGGACTGACCAAAGGGAAATTGAGACATTCTCAAAATGCAGCACTTTATTGCACCCTCTATGGTACAGGTATCTGAGCCTCGTGTCCTGGAGTAGTCGCTGACTAGACAGAGACATCTTGTTTTATTGGTCCAGCCTGCAGGTGATCATCCCAGGGTGCTATATTATAAACCAGAGGCGATCGCTGAAGTGAAATGTTATATTTTTTTAGCATCGTACCAGGGAGCGTAGAGACTCCTCGTCGCGTAACACAGAGTTACCATGCCCTGCGCTTAAACACTTCACTGCCACCGTAACCATATCATAAAGAAGATTTTATTCTCGGCAAATCATTGTGTTCCACGAAGAACACATTTGTGATTTTCCTTGCTGCTACAGACAGGAGGACTTGCAGATGAGGTCAGTTTCTATTTTATGCAGTACATGTGTAGTGAGTCCAACTGAGTCGCAGACGTTGTCTTGGTAGCAACACTGTATTTCACCAACTCAACATAACACAATCTACACTCGGGTGTTGAATGCCCATCTAGCCACGCTACGGCAGAACTAGACGGTTCGCTATCCCGGCCCGGACCACAAGCTGGGTCCCGGACAGCGTGGCTAGAGGCTCCTTTAACCCGACGTGGATCTTCATCACCAGCAACACAAAGAACCCCGAGCCCCTCACGGTGCCCCCGTTATATCGGCCTGGGCTGGGGGTGGCTCCGCCCACCTTCTAAATCTCTCGAGCTCTTTCCCGAAGGCTCCCGAGAGCTCTTTTATACCACGTGACCGCCCAGCAGCCCCCGTCCACCGGTGTCCCCCCAATATCATCCGGTCACGTGTTGGCAGGTCAACCGGCGTATCATGCCCCAACATAACCCTGGCTGGCTGACACTCCCTCTCGCTCCCTCACCGGGAGCCCGCACCGCACACTGTCTGCGGTGCCTCCGTGCTGACCAGCACTCACCCAAGCCCCGCTAGCGCTGGTGGTACTACGCCCAGTAAGCGGGCTACACGTAATGCCAACACATTATCCGCCGTGGGTTCGTAAGCCCGGCACCACACAGTGACAATCACAGTCACTACACAAATATACGTTTCTATTAAAATGTCAGCTTACAGGGATCTCTTAATGGTATAAACTAGTTTTGCATGTGTAACAAAGTTTGTTATTAATATTGATTGGGACATGGGAATGTGGCAACGTCCCACGGAGGTTCTCCAGGCTGTAAGGTTTTCCGCACAATGTGGCACTGAAATTGGTGCCATGAGCTGTCGATGTTATTTTCTACATCTTATTTTTATTATGCTCACCTCTTCACTTGTAGTGCTGTATTTAATGTCATACTTGTGCAACCCAGTAAAACTAAACATCCATTTATTAAAGTACATTATCTGTTCCCTTGAGTCAATTTGTTTCCTAAGGCTGTATTTGATACATTTGTATTTTTCACAATTCAATCCTGCTTGTGCTGCTGCTGCATAGGTTTTCATGGTTGTGCTGCAGAGCAGCCTGATGGGTTTTGCTATTGGGATGAAGACTCGGTGAAGAGATCCTCTGAGGAACTCTTTCCCACAGTAGGGCCAACGACAGGGAATGATCTGGAATTGGCATGAGCTGGCTTCCTGACTGGGGTGCCACGGTGGCGAGATGTTAACTACCTCGCCTGGTATGCAGGAGGTCACGCGTTCAATCACGACCATGACGCCTGTATATTTGGAGTTTGCATGTTCTCCCCGTGGCCGTGTGGATTTTTCTTCGGGTCCTCCGGTGATTCCCTCCACATTTAGAAAACATGCGTTTAGAGTATTTGGCTGATATAAATGTCCACATGATAAGCCACTTCATTGAGCCATAATTTGTGACCAGGTCGCTTCTGAAAAAGAGCTAAATAGCTCAGTGGGAATTATCTGGTAAAGTAAAAAAATAGGTTCGGAGAGGTCTATCCTTGACACTGAGAACAAATTCATTCCTACTAAAACAAACCCGTTCAAAGGTCTTCACTTCTTGCAGGTAATGTGAGAGCAGGCTTAGGATTTTACGTGGACCTTACAGATGAGATGGTGACATTTGAGACTGGATGTTTTCCCCTGTCGATCCAGCCTGTATAAAGTGCTGAAAGCAGGGGTAAGGGAAAATATTGAGAGAAATCATTCTTTGGGTCTTTCGGTAAAGTCACGTAGGTTCAAATAAAATAAACGAAGATGTTTAAAATAGGCGTAGCCCGAATTGGGCAACGCCCATTGCGATCGAAACGTAGTTTTTTGTTTATTTTTATTAATTTGAACCTATCTACGTGACTTTACTGAAAGACCCAAAGAATATGAATTCCTGCAGTCACGAAAGCTTAAAGTAAAGAAGAGACATCAATTGCAATCCATAGTCCAGATAGTGCAGATTAAGCACATGGATGTTATAATCACCAATGAAGACATGAAGGGAGGATTGGTTGATAATGGAGGTGCAGTTTGTTAAATTAGACGGAGTTTGGATTCTTGAGTGGGTGGTCATGGACGATGCAAGGATAGACGACATGGGGGTGTTGGTGCCATCGGTGAAAACCTAACTTTGTATATTTTTTTCTCATTTATTATTGGGTGATGGGACCATCAATTCGTTTCACTTGAGATCTCTGTATTCATGGGTGGGTGAGACTCTGAATCGGACCCGTAACTTTCATTTAGCTTTCATCGATTTAGCAGGATTATGATTTTAATGTCACGCAATTACTGTCTAGCAGGGCCTGTGAAGAGGTACAGGCCCTGCTACACAGTTAACAAAGGTAGTTCGGGGCTTTTATAACAACCTGGTACTGCATTTCACAAACAGCGGAGTCGTATTTCCAAGGGAAGCCTGTTAAGAGATAAAATATTAAGAGTATTTTATGTGACGTTATGAAATTGTGATAAGAATAAGTGCATAGAAAGGCGACAATTGATGGACGTAATTTGGATCTTGCAATAACATTTTAACTATGAAAGATCCGGCTCGATTCCGTCTCATGAATGTAGTTGGTGTGATGCATGCTCACCATGGTGTGATGCATGCTCACTGTGGTGTGATGCATGCTCACTGTGGTGTGCTGCATGCTCACTGTGGTGTGCTGCATGCTGACTGGTGTGATGCATGCTCACTGTGGTGTGCTGCATGATTGTGGTGTGCTGCATGCTCACCGTGGTGTGATGCATGCTCACTGTGGTGTGATGCATGCTCACCGTGGTTTGGTGCATGCCGACTGTGGTGTGATGCATGCTCGCTGTGGTGTGATGCATGCTGACTGGTGTGATGCATGCTGACTGGTGTGATGCATGCTCACTGTGGTGTGCTGCATGTTCGATGTGGTGTGCTGCATGCTCGCTGTGGTGTGCTGCATGCTCGCTGTGGTGTGCTGCATGATTGTGTTGTGCTGCATGCTCACTGTGGTGTGCTGCATGCTCACTGGTGGGATGCATATGTGATGTGATGCATGCTCGATGTGATGTGCTGCATGCTCACTGTGGTGTGCTGCATGCTGACTGGTGTGCTGCATGTTCACTGTGGTGTGCTGTATGCTCACTGTGGTGTGCTGCATGCTCACTGTGGTGTGATGCATGCTGACCGGTGTGCTGCATGCTCACTGTGGTGTGCTGCATGTTCGATGTGGTGTGCTGCATGCTCGCTGTGGTGTGCTGCATGCTCGCTGTGGTGTGCTGCATGATTGTGTTGTGCTGCATGCTCACTGTGGTGTGCTGCATGCTCACTGGTGGGATGCATATGTGATGTGATGCATGCTCGATGTGATGTGCTGCATGCTCACTGTGGTGTGCTGCATGCTGACTGGTGTGCTGCATGTTCACTGTGGTGTGCTGTATGCTCACTGTGGTGTGCTGCATGCTCACTGTGGTGTGATGCATGCTGACTGGTGTGCTGCATGCTCAATGTGGTGTGCTGTATGCTCACTGTGGTGTGCTGCATGCTCACTGTGGTGTCAACTCCGCGGTGAGAACACGCGACGCGTGACGTCAGGTGCCTGGTGACGTCACGCCGCGGGCGCCGTCTAAATCGCAGGCCGGTCACGTCGCGGTCGCATTTTAATGACGGCACGGCGGCTGTGTGGACACGCACGTCACGTCCGCTTCCCGTCACGTGGTTTGTGTGCGGCGGCGGCGGCGAACGGAGAGAGCGAGGCTGTCCAGGTGACCCGCGACTCCGTGACCCCTTGACCTGGTGACCGTGCGACCCCGTGACCGTGCGACCCCGTGACCGTGCGACCCCGTGACCGTGCGACCCCGTGACCGTGCGACCCCGTGACCGTGCGACCCCGTGACCGTGCGACCCAGCGCTCTGGTGAGGTCGCCATGGGGAAGCGCAAGGAGATGAGCGCGGAGCTGGGAGGACTCGATAGCGGCGGTGAGAGACCACACCGAGACCCCCACACTCCCCACACTCACCCCACACTCACTCCACACTCACCCCACACTGAGCTCACACCCCACACTCACCCCACACTCACTCCACACTCACCCCACACTGAGCTCACACCCCACACTCACCCCACACTCAATCCACACTCACCCCACACTGAGCTCACACCCCACACTCACCCCACACTCACTCCACACTCACCCCACACTCACCCCACACTGAGCTCACACTCAGCTCACACTAACCCCACGCTCACCCCACACTAAGCTCACACCACACTGAGCTCACACCCCACACACACCCCACGCTCACTCCACACTCACCTACACTCACCCCACACTCACCCCACACTCACCCCACACTCACCCCACACTGAGCTCACACTCACCCCACACTCACACCACACTGAGCGCACACTCACTCCACACTGAGCTCACTCCACACTGAGCTCACACCACACTGAGCTCACACCACACTGAGCTCACACCACACTGAGCTCACACCACACTGAGCTCACACCACACTGAGCTCACACCACACTGAGCTCACACCACACTGAGCTCACACCACACTGAGCTCACACCACACTGAGCTCACACCACACTGAGCTCACACCACACTGAGCTCACACCACACTGAGCTCACACCACACTGAGCTCACACCACACTGAGCTCACACCACACTGAGCTCACACCACACTGAGCTCACACCACACTGAGCTCACACCACACTGAGCTCACACCACACTGAGCTCACACCACACTGAGCTCACACCACACTGAGCTCACACCACACTGAGCTCACACCACACTGAGCTCACACCACACTGAGCTCACACCACACTGAGCTCACACCACACTGAGCGCACACTCACCCCACACTGAGCTCACACTCACCCCACACTGAGCTCACACTCACCCCACACTCACCCCACACTGAGCTCACACTCACCCCACACTGAGCTCACACTCACCCCACACTCACCCCACACTCACCCCACACTCACCCCACACTCACCCCAGACTCACCCCACACTCACCCCACACTCACCCCACACTTAATCCACACGGAGCTCACACTCACCCCACACTCACCCCACACTCACCTCACACTCACCCCACACTCACCCCACACTCACCCTACACTCATCCCACACTCACCCCACACTTACCCCACACTTAATCTACACTCACCCCACACTCACCCCACACTCACCCCACACTCACCCCACACTCACCCCACACTGAGCTCACACTCACCCCACACTCACCCCACACTGAGTGCACACTCACCCCACACTCACCCCACACTGAGCTCACACTCACCCCACACTCACTCCACACTCACTCCGCACTGAGCTCACTTTCACCCCACACTGAGCTCACTTTCACCCCACACTCACTCCACACTTACTCCACACTGAGCTCACTTTCACCCCACACTCACTCCACACTGAGCTCACACGCACCCCAAACTGAGCTCACACGCACCTCAAACTGAGCTCACACTCACCCACACTCGCCCACACACCCCAAACTGAGCTTGCACTCAACCACACTCACCCTAAGCTGAGCTCACACTCACTTCCTACTCACCCCACACTGAGCTTACACTCACCCCACTGTGTGTTTCACTCAGTGTCCTCACCCCACTGTGTGTTTCACTCACTGTGTCCTGTAAGTGCGTGTTCTTTACGAATCGTGCACTGTGCCGTGCATGTAACGAGTCCAATGTTCATAACAGGACTAGGTGGCTTCGTGTCATGATGGATACAAGCACCACATTTAGTTTTTTGGTCTTTTATGTCCTTAGAAGAAAAACATAGGTTAGGGAACCTTTTGAATGTTTGATCATATCTTAGATGATCACAACCGGTGTGAAAACAATCCCAAGCTGTGTTTAAAGGGGGATGGATATGCCATAGATGGTTTAATACGTCGGCTTTGGCGACCAATATCCATAATCGTTTTTTGGGCTAGATCGCGTAAATATATAAATGTGTCATTAAAACCCGCCACCACCCGACACATCCAACTAATAAGGGTTGTCACGTAAACAGAACATGCCAATTCGTCACTATTACAGCACACCGGTGTGTTGGAGAGCCAAGGCACAACATTTACAATCTGAATACGACGTTTCGCCAGCAATTACAACTAGCTTCATCAGGCGACAGCCAGATTTCTGGAGACGTCCACCTGTTTCTTTACTTATATAGAGGCGTAGATCATTGGTGGAAAGGCGAGGTTTAAAACAATTAGGTTTGATAAGGTTTAAATAAAAATCCTCAATATCCCGAAGGGCCAGTTAGGGTGAGGTTTTGAGGTTTATTATAAAAAAAACGCCATTTCGGCGCAGCAGGAGAAGGATGCCGGCAGGTTTACATTCTTTATGCTGCTCAATGGACGTAAGACACCTTTGCAGTATTGGCAGTGTGACGGCGTGGCCTCTCACAATCTTCAGAAGATAAGTGACAAAAGTAAATATCCAATAAATAAGTAACACATAACTGGTAGATAAGTAAGTAAGCGTACTTTTAGGATTACCAGCATTTGACCTCATCATATTACAGCTACCAGACCGGTAGTTAGCCCTTTACAGTTTTAGCACTGGTAGATTTCACACTGCGCTGAGCGGCACTACGGTAACGCCATTGCCTCCTGGCAACAAAGCCATTGAAAGTTTTAAACAAAGTTCATGGTCGTGACTGTATAGAGCTCAGCCAATAGCAGCGGTCTAAGGGACTTAGCAATTTTGATTCCGCGTCTGGTAGACGCTTGTTTAGGCCTTCCCATTGCTCAATGTAAACATTGTACTAACAATTCGAATAATTTAAAACGTGATAACGTGCAATTTTAGTGTTAGTGGTTTATTCAGCAGTGCTTTAGTCAAAGGTAAGTGTTGCATAGTGGATAGTCCTACCATGAAAAAATTAAACGAGTTATGACACGTTACACGTGTAAAATATTTTTGGGGATAGCCCGCACCTCCATATACCCCGCAGGGTCTTGTTTTTCTTGTAAAAAGTGGTAACCCCTTGGGTTATATGTGGGAATATATGGTACTGGCGAAACGTCGTACTCAGATTGTAAATGTTGTGGCTTAGCTTTCCAACACACCGGTGTGCTGTACTAATGATGAATTGGCATGTTCTGTTTACGTGACAACCCTTGCTAGTTGGCTGTGTCGGGTGGTGGTGGGTTTTAACGACACATTTATATATTTACGTGTTCTAACCCAAAAAACCTCTTATGGATGCTTTAAATGGTTACAGAAAATTGATTCTGACATACAGAAATTTGTAAACAATCACAAACTTTAATATTTACATTCATAGTTTACATCCTCGTGAAATTTGCACGTGAAAAGTTTTCTAAAGCTCTCTTTTTCTCAGTGTTTTTTCATAGATTCCATATATTTGCATCTAGAAAGTAGTGAGCAATCCGTTTTTTCTTTCCCAGACAGTTGAAACTATTTCCTTAGCAAGAATACTTGATCAGATCATTACACGCCCTAGACACCTCTGGAATTGTTATCGAAATTGGCACCCATGACTTTCCCAATTTGACCCAACCAAAGCACTCTGGAGAAAGAGCCAGCCGCTGGGACTTGGTGCTTGTGACCCAGATTCCATCCTGGTAGACAGCCCCGTCAAGCGTGTATGGGTAGAGCATCCTGATTGGGTGGTAACTGGACCACAGCTCGATGCTTCTGCCAGAATAAATTCATTCTAGCCTCATTCCAGAGGTGAGAGGACTTGCTTCGTCATACGTGACAACAGGAAGGCTTTCGAACTTTTGGACGTGATGAGTGTGTAAGTGTAGCTGTTTAAAGGGGTGACAAGGCTATGTTCACAAATGTCTCTGTAATCTATACATACGACTGCCAGGCTGGCCTTTTACTCTTCAAAGAGGATGTGTATCAACCAGAACATGTGTGGTACATAAGCTAGTCTCTGATCTTTGTTCTGTAACCCTGGCAGATATTCTCTTGGTGTTGTGAAAGCAGAAATTCCTAGCCATTCCAGAGGGGCCACGCGGATGTCTGCCAGTGGTTGGATTACAGTCAGGTCATGAAATTTTCTAATGAGAATGGTTGGCGCATCTATGTCCACGATGCGTATTTGGACAGTTTCAGTTCCGTGCTCAAAAACATGATATGTTTGAACCACAATCATATAAACTGCATGATTGACATCTGACATGGGGTTTGTTGTATATATTATATCTTGAAAAATACTAAAAATAAGAAAATTAAATGAAAGTAAAAAATGTGTAATTTTACGAATTCATGCTAATTTACGTAATTATACAAATGCATTTATGCGAATTAGGCTCTGCTTCGTTGTCTAGGGTTGTATCATCAATCGGGATAATGCAATGATTCTCGCTTTAACTTTACTGATTATGCTTTAGTGTGTTTTTATCAGGTCTCAAAATTCAGATCTCACCGCAGGAAACAGTTCTTACAATTAAGATTATTATGCATGAACTTAGGAAGGCACCACTCAGACTCTTCTGTGTTAAGCAACTTAATATCTAAAAACACTCTAACATGCGAACACTTATGCTCGGAATTGTCAACATGGTCCTCCTCGAGATGTCCTACTCATTGATCCGTACATTTACCCCTCAATGGTTGCATTTGTTAAACTGGGTAACAGAACAATCGGCTAATTCCTCAAGAGTCGAGCGAGCATACACGGTGATAGGAGAAAGTCCTTAATATTAATGTGACAATATTCGTACGAACAGTAATAAAGAAACATGTGCCTAAAGCAAAAGTAGTTATCAATTAATTAATTAGTAAGATTAAGCAATTAATGAAAACGAATGACTAAAATACTTCTAAACAATCGTATTCATGTAACTCGAAGGGCAGCAATGCTTTCCTCGATCAGCTGATATTTAACGCACCACCTTGGAATGGCAACCCTTCTTGAAACACAAGGATAACTTTTTGGAACAATCGTATTAGTCCCGAT